CATATTATTGAAGAACTTCATAAACCGACCTTTTTGATGTTGAGCCTTTTCATAAAGATCCTTATCACTCTATGTGAAAATGTTATTTCCCAACAAAAAGTGACCTTCAGTCCAATACTTGGGAAACAGGTCGATATATCGGCCCTTCAATCCATTTCTAACATTGTAAATTGTATCATGAGCTCCCGAGCTGATGGGGGTCACCGTTGGTGCGGTAAAGCAGCAAACAAAAAATATTAAGTACCCAGTTTTGTCGTCTCCACAGGGATTAGTGCGATCTGAACACCGTTCAATGATTTCTATATTTCTAAACTTATTGTTCATAATTTTTGGTTTAAATGGTTCAGGGAACCATAAATAAAAATAGAAAATATAAAATAAAAACTGAAATATAAACGGAGCCTTGTTGGGATTGGATTTCATCAATTGATAACATATGCATTCTTCTGATCAAATTAAACACAACGCAATCATTCGTCTAATATCATCACGTATCACTCACGACAAAGCTTATCTCTAACGCGGCGTCGAGAGAAAAACCGTGTTGTCTCATTGGTGATCTCTCACCCAACAAAAACACAACACAAAGCATTAAGATCTGATACTCACGCAAATGCTAAGCCTAAATCTATCTCTAGCGTTTAGAACCTAACTGGTAATCATCCTAGATCCAGATTTGAAGAGTATATCTCTATCACGGTTCAAATCAAAGATTAACAGGTAAACAAGAATGAAACCCATAACAGATAAACAATTGTTTTGCATAAAATACAATGAGCAGAATACGTACACACGCTTAACCCTTTTTACATGTATTCATCTAATCCGCCAAATGTCGGTGAACATCATTCTTCATCACTATTATCACATACCCACACAATATCATATTGATCCTACCCATGCTACCCATGCTACTTAATCAACACAACACCGTAGAGGATAAAATGAATATCAACTTCAAAACCATGTCAAAATTTTGTTCATTAATAGAAGAAGATCTGAGATCAAAGATGTGAAAAGGTTTTGTCAAGACCCACAAATACATAATCAAATATATTCAATCAATAGAGAATCTAAAATAAGTTCACAAACATATATTAGATGAAATACATAAGGTATCAAAAGATTACAATCCAAACCCCAACAAGAGATCGAAGATCTTACCTCCTCCCCCTTAGGGTTTTGTGTTTCTCTCTCTAGAATAAAAATAGAAAAATAAGTTCTGATGTCTAGAATGGAAAAAATACAAGTTATGGAAATTGTGAAAGTTATGACCTAAAAAACACTAAAAACACTTAAATACCCCACTCAGTCTGGGAGCGTTTGCTACCTGCTCTCCTAGCGAACAACTAGCGTTCTTTATTCGCTCCAGCGAAGTTTGGCACTTTTGGCATTGTCCCATTCTGGGCGCGTTCGCTGGCCTGCTCGCCTAGCGAACAGCTAGTGAGTGTTCGCTACCTTGCTCGCTATCAGCTCGCCTAGCGAGCATGACGACATTTTGCCACTGGAAGTGTTCGCGGGAGACTCGCTGCGCCTTCGCCTAGCAAGTGCTCGCTACTCCCTCGCTGCATCTTCGCCTAGCGAGCTTGCTGTTTGTTTGCTTGCTTTCTTGGTTCCTTTGCCCATTTCTTGTGTCTTACTTTTCACTTGTTTTTTGCCTAATTCCTGCACAATAGCACACAAATCAAAGGTACCAAGAGATTTTCACACTATATTGCAAACCAAACAAAACAAGAATGGTTTCCAACTCTTTCATGACAAAAATGAGTGAAAATGCCAACATTTGATAGATCAAATAAGTGAAATTAGGCATCTAACAGGTCACCAAAAAAACTGACCCAAAATAGACAAGAGCTCCATAAAAGGTTTGAAACCATGAATGATTGGCCTGAAATGAAGTAATCCTCCAACCATATCCAGAGACGTCGGGCCATAGAGTTTTGAAAAGGTGAAGAAAAAGGAATATACAAGGTTTCCTTTTCACATTCTCACACCAATACTGATAGAATCTCATATATGCCCAACATGAATGGTGAAGTTGTGAGGGGGTCATGATCAGATGGTTTAACACCTCTACCTCAAAAGTAGTAAAAGGAATATGAAAACCTAGGTGGACAAAACACATTCATAAAAAGGAATGACTCAAGTGGCATACTTGTTACATAACCTTTCATCTTCAGAAGGAGTCACGTTTCCCTAGTCAGAAGATAAGCCTACCTATGCAAAAACACCGTCAAAATTGTTTGGTTTGGCAAAAGCAGAAGTGGAAGAATAAGCATGATCCATCTAAGAATGTGGAGTATCCTTTTTATACTTACTCATACTTTTCTATGGTTTCTTGTTCATAATGCACTAATTTTGCAGTTACACGATATGAAATACAAAAGGTGGAAATAATGGAACTATCAAAGTAGAAAAAGAAGACTCGAAAAAAGGAACAAAATATTTATCCCTTGAAAAGAAACTATGTTATAGAAGACAAAAAGACTTCACTAAACTTGTATAAATCCTTCACACGTAACACAATAATTTAGGTTCCCAATAAACATTATGATAATATCAATGAAAAGTTGTTTGAAGTATGGTACGCTTAATGCACAGACCCTTAAGGAACTGAAGCAACCCTCATTCATCCATTTCAAATAACCAGGAGATGGTCATCATCTGAAGTCATAATAACAACCCCTGCTTACCTATGCCTCGACAATGACTTGGGGAGAAACTATTTTGGGTCAACTAAAAAGACCTCAGACGACCTAAGCCAACCATACCGACTCGGCCTACAATCTAATAAAGGTTCCATTTCATCAAAAATATTTATAATCGGTAGAAATAATTACTTTTGTGATCCCAATAAATATCAACCGTAAAGCACATCCAACAGTCATCCACAAAAATGATGAACAAATATCTTGTTCCTTATTTTCACACACACACACACACACACACACACACACACACACACACACACACACACACACACACACACACACACACACACACACACACACACACACACACACACACACACACACACACACACACACATATCAAAAAGTATTGGTGTATGTGTTCCTCCTGCAAGGGCAAGGAGACTCAAAGGGCTTAGCAGGTATATAACATGTTTTGGTGATGAAGGCTTACTCACGGCGGCGATAACTTTTGTTCGATGGTGTTTAAGGTTATTTAAGGGACCAACTCACGTGAGGTGAGAGGCCCTGTTGGTGATCTACACTAATAGAAATGTATATAGGCAGTAAGGTTGTTAAGATGGTAACGAGCGTGGTGCTTTTTGAGTTGTGGAGGGTGTGTATAACTTAGAGTTTGTCCCTCATCCCCTGGAGGGAGAAGTATTTATAGAGGCTCTCTTAGGGCTGAGTGTAAAGTTAGTTGACGATTACGTCCTACCCTCATGACCGAGGAAGTGGTCAATGGAAAACTTAGTTTTTAGACTCATGTTGAGTTTTTCATATATTTGAGTTAGTATTCTAGTTTCTTTTAATAGTTTATTTGTAATTTGATAAATTATGCTATTCACATTATTATAATTTCATGTTTTTTTTATTCTTGTCCTATGTTCTCATATTTATTGTTAACATGTTATCTATAACTTGTTTTGATTTTTTTTAACTACTTGTCACTTTTGCTATTGAGCTCTATAAAGTCCGACAGTACATTTTTTCACTTTTGATGATTGGTTATATTAAAGAAAAAAAATTCTTCTGTTAAATCAATGAATTATTCTTGGATTTCTTATTCTATTTTGTTGGCTTGAATATCAAACTTATATCATATAAGACTTCAATTGCTCATCAATTTTGATAGTGGTCATGTATGTTGTAAATTATTAAGAATTAATAATCATGAGTGTGTTCTAAAATGACAAGAAAATATGTAAGTGAAGATTAGATTTGAATTTAGAAATAAGCAACACTTGTAAAGTGTTGCAGTTGATTTGAATTTGGAAATAGGAAACACTTCGTGAAGTGTTACAAAATGAAAGTATGCAACTCTTGAAGAATGATGCAGTAGGCGAAACAATGTAACTTTTGATAAAAGTACGTAACTTTTGGCAAAAGCTTGTAACTCTTGGTAAAATGAAGTTGTTTCATTAAGGGTCACAACCTTGTGAAACAACATCAATATGGCTTATAAATACTTCATTCAAGATTCAAAAAAAACATAACAAAAATATACATCCTCTTCACTAAAATTCTTGACACTTTTCCTTACATTCGAGTTTTCATCGGTCTTGTGCAAACTCGAGCATAAGCTGAATTATCCTGGGTATTCGGCGTTCCAACTCTAAGACATTTAAGAGTGCTTGAACTACTTTTAAGGAAAGTGATTTCATTCACGATTCTAGCCCCGATTCATTCGGTTTATATTAATTTTATAACAATCTTAAAAGTATTTTATATAATAGTAACCGAGGCCGGCGTATCAAGAACAATAATCGATATCATGGATCCGAGTATGTTTTATTGTTTTTCATTAAAAAAAAATTAGAGCATTGTAAAAATCATAATATCAAGATTCAAATATGATTTTTTCAACAATTGGTATCAGAACATTAATTAACGATATTATGGTTTTTTGATAATTATTAATTGATATGAATCTAGAAATTATCTTATAAATGTATTATGCATAATATAATTTTAAATGGTTTAAGAATGTAAGTAACAAGGATGTTGTAATGTAATTCTCAATAAGAGACATATTTTAATATGTTTTATATTGTGTTACGTGTGCGTGTATAATAATTCCTATGTGTTTCCCTCTAAAAAAATCGCTGCTTTTTTGTCATGTATTGTTGTGTCTACACACAAAACAACACCAGTGCATTATCTTGCAGAAGAGGAAGATAATATAGGCAACAATGGTTAAAGGAAGGTGATTTGAATTCTAGATTCTTTCATAACATGATGACTTGTAGAAGAAGGAAGAATCACATTATTTCCTTAAATACTAAAAAGGGGAGGATTGAAGAGGTTTCCATGATAAAAATTACTGTTGAAGACCACTTCAAACACAGGTTCACCAATCTTGGTGGATACAGACCAATTTTGGAAGGGATTCATTTTAGCAGCCTGACTGAAGCTGACAGTTTGGATCTTGAGAAAGATTTCTCTAAAGAGGAGATCAAAGGTGTCATTTGGGATTGTGATGGAGACAAAAACCCTAGTTTAGATGGGTTTAACCTCACTTTCATAAAGAACTATTGGGATATATTGGGAGAGGAAATCATTGATGTCATACAAGAGTTCTACAATACAACCACTTTACCTAAAACCTTCACTGCTTCTATTTTGGCTCTCATCCCAAAGATCCAAAATCCACAGTAGATGGAGGACTTTAGACCAATATGTTTGATTGGTAGTTTATACAAAGTGATAACTAAAGTTTTGGCCAATAGAATTAAAGGAATCATTGGTAGGTTAATTTCCAAATCACAATCTGGTTTCATACCAGGTAGGCAAACCCTTGATGGAGTATTTATCACAAATGAGATCATTGGTTATGCCAAGAGGAGAAAAAAGGATTGTTTACTTTTTAAGGTGAACTTTTCTCAAGCATATGACAATGTTTGCTGGGATTTCTTAAGATACATGCTTGGTAAGATGGGCTTTAGAGGGAAATGGATAAGATGGATGGAGGGTTGTGTTTTCAAAAGTACTATGTCAATTCTAATCAATGGAAGTCCAACTTAAGACTTTGTGGTATCTAGGGGTCTGAGGCAGGGCGATCCACTATCACCTTTCTTGTTTGCCATTGTAGCTGAAGGCTTGACTAGAATTATGAAGAATGTTGTGGACACCAACTTCTTGAAAGAATTTAGACTGGATGATGAACTTGGAGGACCCTCTTTCAATTTACTACAGTTTGCGAATGACACTGTCATCATTAGAAATGGATCGTTGGGTAACATTTGGGCTATCAAGACCATTTTAAGAGCTTTTAAAATGGTGTTTAGTCTAAGGATCAACATGAGCAAAAGAAAAGTTTATGGAATTAGACTGAACCCTGATTTCATGTTGGTAGCTTCCATTTTCCTATTTTGTTGCATAGATAAAATCCCTTTTAAATTCTTGGGGATCAAAGTAGGAGTCAATCTAAGGAGAATTGAGGCTTAGTGTCACACCCTAATTTTTAACCCTAAGATTCCACCTCATTTGCATTATTTTTCATGATATAAATCATCTCATGTGTGTTTTTTATGCATTAACTAACCCATTAAGGATACAAGAGCATGTGTTTTGTTTTCACCCTAATCGTAAGTTAGGGTTTTGCTCTCAAGAAGTTCAGGAGTTGACCAGTCAAAGACTCATGGGATCCTCAACCTCTCAAGCCTTAATTCATTAAAAATTAATCAAGGGTCCCCACACATCAATAATCAAGTGGAAGATTACCTTGAATCAAGATCAACAAGCCCCTAGTCATCATATGCACCCAAATTAGGGTTTTGACCTAATTTAGTCCTTGGGTTGACTTTTGAAGCAGTTCATGATCCAACACCTCAGGATATGTTTCAAGGACCTTAAATTCATAATATTAGTCCATTCATATGATTGGGTTACTCCAAGAAGTTTGATTTATGATTAATTGAAGAGAATATAGTTCATTTGGAAAAAGTCAACTGTGATCAAAGTCAAGTTTGACTTTTGAGATTTTTGGCCAAACATGAACTCCTCAAGTCAAGGATCATAAAAATATGTTAATTGGATCATGATCAATCAAGAAAATATTATGATTTGGGAAAATTAGGGTTTTTGATTTTTCTAAGTTATGGAAGTTCTATGTTTTTTGCCTTACTTTCCAAGCTGATAAGTTCCTCTTCAAGCAACCAATGAAGACACTTGAAGACTCATTTTAAAGGTGGTATTACACACTTCAATTTGGTAAAATAATGGACTCAAGATAATCTACCAATTGAGAGTTATGGTTATTCAAAGTTAAGGCTTTACAAGTTATCAAAATGTCTAACACTTAGAAAAAACTTCAAGTGTAAATCAGTGAAAAGTACAATCTTTGCAAGCATTTTTCTCCATGATCCAAGATGATTTAAGTTAAGTGTACAACATAAAAGTTTAAGTATGTTCTCTGCTCTTTCCAAAGATACCAAGAGCAAGAAAAGATATAGCTTGAGCATGAAGTTATGATTTTCCAAAGTGCGCATGGTAAGCAATTTTGGACTTAGGTAGATTGTGCACTATGATTTTCACACAAGTTCATGAGTGTTTTTGCCCCTTTTCCAAGCATTTTCTGAATAACTTACCTACTTGAAACTTGTTCGTTGATGCAAAGTCCTTCCAATGATACTAAGTTATGCATATTGGGATCTTGATTCACCATGGAAAAGCATCCACCAACATGAATACTTAGTTTAACTCATGGATAATGGACAAAAGGCTACTTTATGATTACAACCACTCTCCATGATTCAAGGGAAGCTTCAATATGAGCTCAAACCATTAGTACAAGCTAGAAAACTCAGAAACAATGTAAGGAAGAGTCAACTTGTAAAAGCAAAGCATATGTGTACTTGAAACACCTTTATGGAAAAAGCACTTTATCCAATGGATTATGCTTCATACTTTGCCCAAGATTTAGCCACTTGATTAGAAACCTTTCACTATTAATAGAGCCTCAAATCATAACAAAAACACACAACAATTTAAGCTAAGAACCTTCTAAAATTAGAATCTCCAACCTTGAAACACCATTGTTCATCATTTGCATCCATTTCACAAAACTTGTCAAAACACTCCATAACCACAAAACAACCAAGTCACATATCCACACACACCACAAATCATCTACCAAAGTTGTTCAAGCCATCCATTTCATCAAAAAACCTCAAAATTCAAAAGTCAACCCTCAACACAAAGTCTATTGACTTTTTGTCCTAAAATCCTAAATCTTCATCCAAGCCATTTCCACTCAATTCAATCCATCAAACACCCTTCGTAAACATTACACAAACTGTCCAAAGTTTTGTTTTACATTCGTAACATAATCTTTACCAGGATCAAGTTCACACTTTATCATTTTGCAAGAGGGATTGTGTCAATAGTTTGAAGTTGTTTCAATTTAATCTAAGCATCCTAAAAGCATCTAAGGAGGTCAAGCAGGCTTTTTGAATCATGATCATCTTTTGTAACCAATGATAGAGGCATTGAAACTTGCTCCAATATGTAAGTTCACCATCACTTGAAACTCCATGATTTTGGTATCATCTTCATTCATGTAATTTACCAAACCATTTCCATGATGTAGAAAGTATTTACCCTATATCAATTGCTCTTAATCCTTGTTGTATGTGATTTCACTTTTAATTTTCATGTTAGGGTTCATACTGATGTTGGATTGATTATTTGTTATGTTTTAAAATTAATGAAATTAAATGGTGTCGCTACTGCGAAAATCGGCGCCGGCTGACAGAAGAGTCGCCACCGTGCGTTATTTATCCCTCAGAGCGGGAAAGGAAACGCTCGAAGTAAACCTCGCAAAAAACGGGGAAAAGGTATGGTCATCGCAACCATAGCCTGGGTTCGGGAGTCGGTTACGCAAGGGGAAGGTATTAGCACCCCTCACGTCCGTCGTACTCGACGGGATCCACGCTTGCTTGGGTTGTCTACTGGATGCAAAACAATCTTATCTACGGCTGCTAAATCTAAAGGGAAGGGAATTGACTCGATAGAGCGTCGCACTCTATGCCTACGTATTCTCAAGAGAGAAAGTCAGAGTCAACGTAGTTCGGGACTACGGGGAAAATGGGCTCGCCAAGACATCGCGTCTTGTGCCTACGTACTTCCACTGAATGGAAGATCAGAGCTTTACGTAGTTCAGACTAACTATGGCTAAACAAACATTCTCACACAACAGTGAGAAAAACAACTGGTTTCACAGGGTCGGGAACCTATGGTCACAACTATGGCTGAGTCTCAAATGCACTCGGGCAAGAGAGAAAAAGGGTTTGCAATTAGTCGTCAGCGGGAAAGTCTCGATCGCACAGCCGCGAGAGAACAAAAGTTAGTCGTTAGTGTGCTCGCTAGGATATCGCATCCTATGCCTACATATCTTCGTCTGATACGAAGAATCAGAGCAGCTGTAGTTCGGCTACTATCGGACCACAGCTCAAATCTCGTTTTATTCATCTCTGAAAAATGATTACAATGGGTTGAATATCGAAATAAATCTCCTAGGAAACGCTATCCTATTCTATCTTGAAAAGTCGACTGAAAATAGCCCCCTAACAAATGGGCTTCTAAACTCTCCTAAAAGTCGAAACAATAAGGTATATGAAAGTATCCTCTAAAAGAAATGCTTTAAAAAATATTAAATCGGCACTTTAATATTTTTTCCTTTTTTCTCCTTTTCTTTTCTCATATTTTTCTTTTCTCAAAATATTTTTTCTCTATATTTTTCACAATATTTTTTCTATTTTTTTCACCATATTTCTTTCTCCTTTTCTTTTTTCAAATATAAACTTTTTCTTTTTCTTTTCAAATATATTTTCCATATTTTTTTATTTTCATTCTTTTTTCTCTATTTTTCTTTTAATATTTTCTTTTCTATATTTTTTTTTTCAAATATCTCTTTTTCTCACTTTTCTTTTCTCTTTCTAAAAAAGGGAATAATAAAGTACAAAGAAAGGGGCTGGGGGGTGTAAATGTCCATACAAGGGGATTGCAGAAAAAATAATAAAAAAACACAAATAATCTGGGCCCAGCCCAAGTCTTCCCAAAAACTCAGGGGGGTGCGTGTGAGTAATTTGGGTGCTGCAGATACATTGGGCCCAAAGCCCAGACCAGCCAAAAAAGCGTGAGGGAGGTGTCAAAAAAAAAGAATTGTGATTGGGCCTGGCCCAATCTTCTTCCCTCCTCTCTCCATTCTCAGGGTCTGAAAACCCTAGTCTTCTTTCTCCCTATTCTCACTGCGCCGCCGTACTCCTTCTTTCGCCGTCGCTCTCATTCAACTTCTTCGCCTCTCAATCCGTCTCCTTCTTCAGATTCTCTACTCAAACTTCTTTCTCAAACATTCTCAACTCAGATCAAACGCGTCCCCAACGATATGGATGAAGGCTCTGGACGTTCTGGGGGAACGAGGATCCATGGAGGTTTCTGGATCCATGTTCTTGACGAAGAGCACGATAGATTGCTGGATCTGGATGTGTTTGAGTGCCTTTTGACGATGAAGATTCTGGAAATAACTCTTGATACATGCGCGATTGGTAATTTTCTCTGAAGATCCTTCTGGTATTGTTGATGTTGAAAGGATCTCGTGAATCATCAATGGAGGTCGTTGAGGATCGGTTGAGTGGTGGTTTCATGTTGATGATTGT